ATCACTATAAGTAGGTTGTATAGTCAGCCAAATGTTTACACTGGATTTGGCACTTCTATCCAAGTTCTTCCCAAGGACCTGGGACAGGCAGTCGTCGTTTGATGGTGTTAAATAAAAATTATGATCGTATATAATTATTATGTTAGATGATGAGCATTGTAAATATATATATAAAGTTAAAACATTACCAGAATTAGTAACCCTTATTTACATATAAAAACAACAGATATTGCAAGATAAGCCATTACACCCAGTGAAACATTTTTTAAAAAGCTATCCAGTCAGGATAACCATTAAGCATCACCAGAGATAGCAAATTGTTATTTATCCATAATCCAATAAATCAACTTTGTTCTTTTTTTCCTTCTTCCTCCTGGCCATCCTTCAGTCCCACAGATAAACTTCTGTTTTCCTGTTTTCTTCTTTGTCTCTTTTCTCAAAATTCTTGTCAGCTTTATCTATTTGTAGCTTCTGCGTAGAAACTCCAGTGCATTTAGTTTCAAAGAGTAATCGAAAGTATTCCTTTGATACATTATTTATATAGGGTATTTTGTCTGCCATGTATTTATGATCGTTGCAGCTCCCAGAGTCACATGATCACCATTTAGAATCGAATAAATGAGCTGGAAGGGACCTTGGAGGTGTTCTAGTCCAGCCTCCTGCTCAAGCGGGAGAATCTATACTATTTCAGATAAGTTACTGTCTAGACTCTTCCTAAAAACTTCCAGGGATGGAGCACCCACTTTTGAAGGCAAGCTGCTCCACTGGTTGTTCTCCCCGTTAGGAAGTTTCTCTTTAATTAGCCTTCTCTCTTTGACTAGTTTCCATCCATTGTTTATTGCCTTGCCCTCTGGTGCTTTGGGATATAATTTGAACCCCTCTTCTTTGTAGTGGCCCCTCAAATACTGGAATACTGCTATCATGTCGCCCCTAATTCTTCTTTTCTCTAGATGAGCCAAACCCAAACTCTGCAGCCGTTCTTCCTATATTTTAGTTTCCAGGCCTTTGATCATCTTAGTTGCTCTTCTCCGAACTTTTTCCAAAGTCTCAACATCTTTTTTCCAATGTGGTGACCAAAACTGGTTGCAGGATTCCAGGTGTGGCCTTACTAGGGTTTGATAAAATGGCACTAATACTTCACGTGATCTTGATTCTATGCCTCTGTTTATACAACCCACTTGTGACCTTCCCAGCCGGAGTCTGACAAGCAGAGTCAATGGGGAAAGCTGGATTCACTTAACAACTGTAGCCCAAAAAAGTCATAAAAGCAGGCAATCACGGGAGGACTCACAGCTGCATTACTTAATGATGGAAATACAGGTCCCAATTCCTGCCCTAAGTCAAAGGACTTCCTGTATGATGATTCCCAGCAAAGAAACCTATGAGCCTTCCCCAGTCTAGGTATCTTGCACAGCAACTGGGAATGCTGGGAGCTGCAGTCCCAACATATCTAGGCAGGCCAAGTTAGGGAAGCCTGTACAGGTAGTCCTCAACTTATGACTACAATTGAACCAAAATTTTCTGTTGTTAAGCAAGACATTTGTTAAGTGACTTTTTCTTGATTTTGCAACCTTTCTTGCCACAGTTGTTAAGTGAATCACTGCAGTTGATTAGTTAGTAACATGGTTGTTAAGTGAATCTGGCTTCCCCGTTGACTTTGCTTGTCAGAAGGTTGCAAAAGGGGATCCTGTGACCCCGGGATCCTGTGATCGTCACAAATATGAACCAGTTGCCAAGCATCTGAATTTTCATCCCGTGATCAGGGGGACACTGCAAAGGTCATAACTGTGAAAAATGGTCATGTCACTTTTCTCAGTGCCATTGTAACTTTGAAACGTTCACTAAACAAATGGTTGTAAGTTGAGGACTACCTGAATTACACTGCTCTGGTTTCGATGATAGTAGGAGCAAGGTCCACCTGGAGGCTGTGGGGATTATGGATATTTATCCATAATCCAATAAACCTATCTCCTGCATTGGGAACAGGAGGGGCAGAACACAACACAAGAGCGCAACTCGAACCAACACCCTATCTTGAATCCATTTGGAGCTGCCAGGCCCAAATGTAGCAGAAAATGCCACCTGGGGTTTTTAAAGTGAAGCATTTACACGTTTCCTCTTTATTTTACGTGATGCAACGTCCATTCCAGGTATCTGAATGCAGTCGGCTCTTCATCTGCTTCCAGTCTAGGTGGGTGGAGAAAGCAGGACATTTTGGGCAGTTTCAACACTAAGAAGGAAGGGACCCAGCTAGGATGCTCAGGTCATGGAAGAAGATGAGCTAAAGCCCAGCAAAAGTATTTCCTCAGGATAACTGAAGCAGTC